GAAGGGCAGCGGAGGCCCCGGCCTGACCCGCCCTGCACAGCGGCCCCTGGTTAGGGTGGACGCCAGGTGACTAGCTCAGGTGTGAAGCGTCTCCGCGTTAGCGTTACGCGTTTTTATGTGGAGGGGAGAGAGCTCTAGCTAAAATACAGCTCAACCTTAGAAAATATGCAGCAAAAACAGGCCGTTGGTGTTTATCCTGTGCCAGCTGAGGGCGGTCAACATTGATGCATTGCAAAGTCCCTGCCCCCTCCCTGCTCGGTGTCCTTCACTTCCCCTTATATTTTTGCAGCGGAATAGACAAATGTACTTAGTTATCTCACAACGAAATCGTATTTTTGGTAGTGAAGACACTGATAAATCTCACTTCTGTGAAAATTTAAGCTAATGAAACAACTAATATTAGTACAGCCCCTATTTAAAAATGATTTTGCTAGTTTACTTTCATCCGCAGGGGCTGTAAAGATGAAATCCATGCAAAGCATCGAGCCTCAAAGAAAGATTGAAGTCTGAAATGTAGTTTCTCTCTTCTTTCCATAGTTAAAAGAATCTTATAAGAAACACTATGTCCTGGAAGTGCAGCAGAGCAGGAGAGTCAGAGCTGAAAATTTTCACTTTTGACCACGTAAGATCAGTGTCTGTCTTCGAGCCGGAGTTAACATTTCAGGCAGCTTCTGAACAGTACTTGAAACTTGATGAATCACTGCTGCAAGATCATTACTACGTATAGTATTCTTTGTTATTATTAGAACCTGCTTGCTTGGTTGTCTTGATTTATTTGTAGCTCCTTCAGAGAATGCAGTACAAGGCTTACTTTCTAGTGTGCTGAGCTGCTACGTTTGCTTGCTTGCTATCATACTCCTTAGCATTTTCTATGCTGTTGGCAGATCCTTTTCCATCCGCTCTCTGTGCATCTTCATTTGGAATGCAACAACAGCAGTCCTTAGGATTAATGTATGAAGAATCACCTTCCTTTCCGATGAAGTTCTTGTTCTAGTTGATTAGTTGTGGTTTTGCCAAGTCCATGCAGCTTTTTGCAAGCCTGATTTAGCGTCTGACATTTAGACTGTACGTACATGTTGCAATATTTGTCTCACATTCTGAAAATAATTTGTAAAGGCTTTCACTTACTATAATACTTTGGGAGAGACATTTAATGTACGTTTATATTATTTGCTTTTTGAAGAAGTTTTGAAAATGGAATGAAAACACCACAATTTTAAAATATATATCCTTGCCATTCAGTAAATGTGCAGCGCTGGAGAAGTCTGAAAAGCTGCTCCTTTGACTGCTATGACTTGGACTTTGTTTAGTTGATTTTTTGCAGGTAGATTTTTTGTGTTTCAGAGACATTAAAAAAATAGTTAAGTGTTAGCTGAATGCCATTATAGTACTGATTGGAAGTGATTCAAGTTGATCTGTTCAGGTTGGAGTCTGTAGTTGTCGATTGGGCCTGGAAGCGTAGGAGCTTGGGGGTGGGTTATCCTGTGGACGTGCAGCTCCCAGCAGCGTGCCTAGAGCAAAGACGTGCCAGCCTCTGCGTGGGTGGGGGGCACAGCCCCCTAGCCCTCCTATTGATGCTTGGTTCCTGCAAGAAGTGAAGGTATGAACAAAACCACTGACAGAGTTAGTCACTGCTGAAGTTTGGACTCGCACCTTGATCTTCAAAAGTCTGGCGGTGATCTCCTGTTGGTGATTTGCTGCTTCTCCATATATTTACATGAAATGCTATGCTTTAAGGAAAATAAGTAGTCCCGAACTATTGATAGAAACTGCCATTTAAAATGTGACATACTGTTAATGTGAGTTACTTAGCACTCATGCTCTCAGCTGTCTTCCGCCCAATAGCTTGCTTGGCCGATTAGCCTGCCGGCCTCGCCGCGCGCGACGCGGTCCCCGCGGCCGCGGGCCTTCATAACCGCTGCCGTCACCGTAACTCTGCGCTGCTTTCCAGGCATCTCGCGGCTTTGTGATCTTAATCCTCTTCTCGTTGCATTTATTGGGTCTGATAACATGGCTTTCAATGGAGGCTTGATTGTTTTCCCGCTGTCTCTTTTCTTATACTTTTTCTTTAGCTTATTCAATTATCTGATATTAAAGCACGTTCTGTACAGCGTTGTGATGACTGTCATCCTCTATATTTATCTTGATACTGTACCTCTTTGTCCATGCTGCCAGTCCCTTTTTCCAAGTATAATATCTGAAATAGCTGATGAATACACTGAGGGAAGTTAGGCTTTTCTGTTGGACTTCTGTTTTCTCAAATAACCTGACCTTCAGCTGATCTTTCAGTCACATGTCTTGCAACATTTCCCCAAAATTAATTGGTTCCTTCATTTTCTCAGTGCTTCCAGATCATTGCTTCCATTGTGCAAATAGAAAATTGGCAAGTCTTACGCAAAGTAAATGAGTTTTAAGATTATTATTTTCAATAAGTTAATGTAAGGCTGTGCGTGTTCAAAAGATGCAGATGTTCGTATGCTGAGTTTGTATGCTTTTAAATATATTTGCCTTTGTTATATTACATTTAAAAGTGTTCTGTTTTGTTCAGAATTGCAACTGTTCTGTGCAGTTAGCAGCAGCGGAGCTGAATTGGCAGTAGCAGTGCCTGGAGACTTAATAAAAACCACAGATGAAGTAGAAGTCCCGTGCTGTCTGCAGTAGGGAAGTGGGTCTGTTCTTAGCACAATTATTTCAGCTTGACACAAAAATGCAGTTGGTCCTTGTTTTTTCTGTCAGATAGTTTGTTCAGCTGAGGTGAGGCCACTGTATAGGCCTGACTCCACATGCTGATATGCATTAAATCTATATCTTCATTAGTTTTTGATAATTTTTTTTTTTCCCTAATGGGAAAAATAATTTTTTTTCCCTAATGGATGCAGCAAAGTTTGTGGAAAAGCTTAACTCTGAGACTGTAATGAACACTTCTAGCCAGCGCTACCGAAAATAAGAGCCTTGGGCTCTCCTGGCTCCGATTGTTGCTCTCATTGATATACCTTGGGTTGGTACAAGTGCTTGTCTGCTTACAGGAAGAAAGTAATTGGTAGAAGCACTTTTGTGTTAGGGCGGTTGTGTAGGTCGTAGGTCATCTGCTAGCATGGGAGTGTTGTGTACACGAGGATTGCACCTCTGTAAATGGCTGACTCCAACTGCGACATGCTTGATGTAGCCATACCGGTCCCACTATCAGAATTTTGTAATTTACACTGTGTCATTGTGCATTATCTTATTCTGCAAAACACTTTTAAAATAATAACTTGCTTATATTCTGGCGAATATGACTTTATCCCATAAAATGCATGAGAGCAGTGTAACCAGATCTCAGTGTTTGAAGTTGTGATGTTAAAAGATGGGGGAAAGTACCTCAAATTGTCATTCTGTTGGCCGCATCTTCCTTATGTGCTTTACATAGGTACGTTATCATGTATACTGTAAAAAATTTCAGCGTTACTAATTTCAGTATGATGCAAACACAATTTGACATTAAAAAAGGCAGAAGGGCAGAACTGATTTTTCTGCCAGGCTGCAGAGGGTAGGTTTGGGATCGGATAGTGAATTTACAGCTTAGTTAATTGCATTGATCTGGAGTGGATTTTAATTGGTTTATGAGTGTATCTATAGATACGCTAGAGTTATAGAACTAGAGTTGCTGTTCAAATCAGCTGGGGAAACCGGTTTTTGGTTTCAGCTGGTACAACTTGAAATGTCACAGGTTTTCAGAAGGATCCTGAAATAGTAGTCTCCAAGTGTGGGGAGCGAATGCCTATTTAGATGTCAGTTAAAGGCAGTGACTAACAGATCAGAAGGGACTGTTAAGACACGCAGCCTGACAGGCCGCGTAACATAATCTGCACATCATCACTGAATAATTCCTGCATCAGGCTCACAGCTTCCATTTGAGCAGCAGCATATGTCCAGGTTTCACTTAAAGACTGCAAGGGCTGGAGAGTCTGCCATATCCCTATTTAATAGTTCGGACGGTTAATTAACCTCACTACCAATAGTTGCACTGTAGTAGTGTAATTTTTGCATCCTTAGCTCCCAATAACTTTATCTCATTTGGAATAATTGGATTCTTCTGCTAGATTTAGAAATGCCTGCCATCTGAAAGAAAACACATTCTGTGTGTAGATATTTACAACACCCCATCGAACGACCTTCTGATCTTTGAGGGCAGTGCGATGCTGTGAGTTAACAGCTGAGCAGGGGTGAAGCTGCCATCGTTTATGTATGCTTTTACATAGGCCTGGACCAAGCAGTAGAACTCAATGTGAGGAAAATATTTTGGAAGTTGGAATTTGAGTGGATGGTTTGCAGTTACGTAATGCTAACGAGGAACATAGTAACCTTTTTGATGTTTACTGTGCTTTCCTGCAGGGCAGCAAAGGACACTACAAATACCACTGGCAGAGCCACAATGTCAAGCAGAGTGGAGTGGACGATATGGTCCTTCTCTCCAGAATCACAGAGGACTCTATAGTGGAGAACCTAAAGAAGCGATACATGGATGACTATATTTTCGTATCCTTTATGGCATAGTTTCTGCTGGGGCCCTGTGGGCTTGCTGAGACAGTGTAAAACTAATAATATGTATGCATTCCGTTTAAGCAGATTATTCAAAGATCCTCAGCATTTTATGTGCAAGTTCATCTGAGATTACACAAAACGTTTTGTAAACTGAGCTAATGTGGTTGTTCAAATGAAGATCTGAAAAATTCTTTTAGTATATTCTTTCTGGTATTTAGTACTGCTCCTGTCATTGTTGCAGATGGGCTTATAGCTCCGTATATTCATAAGCCCTGAAGTTAGTTCAGCGAGTCTACTTTCCCTTCCAAGAATTAGTAAATTTAAGCCTTATATATGTTTCATGATAATCATATTGTCTTCTTTACCTCCCAGATTCTGATGCTTTCAAAATAGCATTTCTTCTGTGACATAACCCTATTTTACAACTTGATCTAGAATTGTTAGTACCATGAGTGACGGACTGGTGGAAACGGGAACATCTCTAAAACTACAGTGTCTGGGCTTGAATTTTTTTTTTTTACTGTGATTAATGAAAATATGAAAGATTAAAATACCCGAACATATAACCCAACAGGAAAAACAGATATTAGCAATAAAAGTTTGCTTTCTTTTTTAGAAATGTATCAAAGGACTTCCTTGATATAAAACACATTTCATTTTTAGCATTCACAATATCACATGAGCTGCAGTGACAAATTTGGTAGACTGGTCAACATCACTATCACCATTACTATTAGTAGATAATTTTTCTCCTGCTGCTTTATCCTGGTCTACGTACTTCCTAGAAGAATCTGGAGAATAGTTTCCTTGAAGAGCTTAATTTTTTTGCAGAAAGAGAGGAATTCAACATCTCCTGGCTATTGTTCCATATGTTCAGACAGTAAGAGCTAAATAACAACTCAATTTAGTCAGGTCTGAGAGAGTAGTAGTATTGCAGTTGCACTGGCGTTTCCATCCCAAACTGCCTAAGCTTTTGATATATGTGTGCTCACGTTTCTGTGTATCCTCCATTCAAGAAAACAGCACAAGTAATAACTTTGCCTTATAGAAATGTGATAAAGTTAGGCTTGATTTGTCAAGCTGATAGTACATGGGCAGAAAATCATGTTCTTGCTGTCGGTGACACAGACACGTTTGTCCCTTTGGAACATTGCACCTTCTTCCCTGTGTCTCGTTCTCCAAGTCTTGGGAGCTTTGTGCTCATGAAAGCATTCTATAGTTTTTTTCTTATAAAATGTGGAAGCTTTACATGAGAGAGATGGTCCTTCTACTGAAGCAGGATTAAATGTGTTTTCCAAAAGGATCTGTGGTTACATAAGGTATCAGATTCTACTTTTAAAGCATTGTAATTCTTTTGTGTAAGGAAAAAAGAAGAATCCTTTGCAGTTCTTTGCAGGGCTTGTCATTCTCCACGGGAGATCATCTCTTGAATCTTTCAGTTGTTCGTGTGTCCACCCATGAATGAACATTGCTCTGTGCCACTTTGCATAGAGATTAGCAAGTCTTCCCAGAAAATGCTGACATTGTTTACCAACAGAAAACTGTCACTTTAGATGTTTGTACTGGCACAGTGAATGCTTGATTTATTGTATTGGAGACCCGGTTGTCGTCAGTCTTCTTTGAATTAAATTAAAAAATGTGTGAAGAAAGCGTTCCATATTGACAATACAGAAATTCTGTTCCCTGATTTATAGTTCTTCTCTGACTAACATGATACTATTTTGTGCTGTGGCACCATAATAATATGTTCTTATGTAAAATATATGTTAATTTTCCCACTTTTGTATGGAAAGCTTAGACAGTAAGTTTGCCTATGAACAATCCCAGATCATTAGATGAAACCTGCAGTACAGTATTTTGGACTCACTTCCATGGGTACACTGCTAACTCCAGCATCAGTGAACCAGTCCTGCCTCTAAAGTTGTCTCCGTTGCTTCATACATGTATGTAACAACTCTAATTCCAAAGATTTCTTAAGTATTTGTGTATGATATATGTAGATATATGTATGATATATACAGAGGAGATCTCTCTTCCATCAGTGACCTCAAGCTACCATCTAGAGAAAAAAATTGCGGGCTCTTGAAAAGGCACATAAATCTATAACAATTTAGGAAAGGAGGAAAAGTGTTTTGTGTCCTTTTGATTCTGTAGGGGGGGATTTCAACCTGCTGAAAACAATAACAACTGGATTTTAGTTAGAGTAAGTGTTATGGGAATAGTTCGACCCTAGGTTTCCTAGGAGCAGAATCTCCCATACGTCTAACAGTGAATTTAATTATTTATTTAAATGACGATACAGCAAAGTAACAGCTCGAGCTGGGTGCCTTCAGGGAGGGAACCCAAACAAAGAAATTTTGGGGTAATTATACTCCTTACAGTCAAATTTCCCTGCCTGCCAGGGTCGGTCTCTTCCAGTCTTCTTTACTGAGTCGGTGGTCTCTTTCCTCTGGATTGGTTCACATCTACATCCCAGGACAGCTGCTGTGTTTCTTCTTCACAGTGCCTTATCGGGCCATCGTGTGCTGTCTCTTGGAGGGCTGGTTCTAGCTGGTTTTGCAGTCGCATCCTCAGCAATGTCTCTCGAGCTCATTTACGATTCAGTCCTGCGGCCTGCAGGCTTCATCTGCTTTAGGCACTAGTGCTAAGCTGGGCTAGAGCTAAATTAGCTCCATTTTCTAACAGTGAGGATTCTGGCAGATTCGCTCTGTCAGTGCTAGACTGTGTAAACTACCTGCCCATTTTGTGCTGTGCTGGAAGTCACCACCGCTGCACCAGGGAGGCTAAAATGAAACTTACGGTTGCTTCCCCAGCAGTTGCAGTGTAGTGCATGAGCAAAGGTGGGTTTGTGTTAAAGGACAATGAGTTGTGAACTGGTGTGGCAGAAACACCAGCACAGGTCTGCCTCTATGCCTTTTTTGTGAGAAATGGCAGGAAAGTGAGCAAACAGACAGCAACACTCAGGTCTCAGGCCACCACATCTGAACTCAGGAGAGCTTCTCTGTGAAACACCAGCGTTCAGAATGTTGCAAAAAAGCTTTGTAGGAGTAGTAATAGCCTGAAACTCAAGAGTGTCTTCTTATAGGGCAGCCTGCAGAGTAAGACGTGCTCCTCTCTAGGGACAGTTAATAAAATAACTGCACATACCAACTCCCTCTCTAGTACATGCAGCTGAGTAGTCATCCAATTTAGCTCAGTACTGGCTGTTTCCGTCTGTCTGTGCGTGCTCAGCACTGTCTCTGTGAGATCAAATCTGTCCCTTTAGCTTATTCTGTGAAGGTCAAAACAACCTTTTCCAGCACTGATAAAATGACCCTTACGAAGGGCTGAAACAGGTCAAATATACCATTTCCTTTTTCTATTTTTATTCGGATTGTGTCAGATTTGGGCCTCCACTACATGTTTTTAAACTTAGCTCGTCCGAAGAAGATGAGTATTTTGACAATATAAAAGTATCCCATTGTTTAATATGTTTATACTCTTGTAAGCCTAGTAATTTCATTTTTATTACAATTGTTGCAAGCCACGGTTATTTAATGCTTCTTTGAAGCTGTGTTGTTTGGTTATATGGCAATCACTAGTAACAAGATTTTATGAAATTATAGTTACTGAGACAATCTTATAAACCTTAACTGCTTTTGAATACAGACATATATTGGCTCAGTATTAATCTCTGTGAATCCTTTCAAGCAGATGCCATACTTTGGGGAAAAGGAAATTGAGATGTACCAGGGAGCTGTAAGTAGAACGGTCTGTGATGTACCGCAGTATTCGGTGGCGTGTAAAGATTGCTCTGCATGGTTAAACTTTTGGAAGCGCTTGTTGCTGGGTTTTGCAAGTACTAGCCTGCGAGAACTTGGTTGGTATCCGTCACTATCTAGGGCGTCTTTGAGTTTAGTTGCCTGGAACATCGAATTAGTATTTCAAGAAAATTCTTGTACTGATTAACTCTGATCCATATCAGTTTTTTCCGCTTGGCAGGCCTGCCCAAGACAGTTTTTAAACTAGTGTATCCTTAAAGTATTATGTGTAATAAAAAATGGCCATCAGTGGACCTGGAGACTATGGCTTGAGATCTCTAAAAGTGGACAAAAAGGAGATGCTAAAATTAGATGCCAGTTTTGAAAATATAATTTGAAGAGTGAGTCAGCGTAAGGATATTAGGGTCTCCAGTCGGTTTCCTGGTCTACTCGAGTCAGGCATGTCCACAGAGGAAAGATTAGGGAAGCTGTTGGGTTTGATTGGGCTCCATGGATGAAACGAGGCCGTATAGCACCAGGCTCTGTGCCGTGGTTTAGCTAGTTTATTGTTAGCATATGACCATGGGTGGAATAGGCTTAAATTATATGAGTTTCTCTTAGACAAGTACTATATTTCAAGCACAGACCATTTTTAGAACAGAGTGTTTACAATAGCTGAGGAGAAAATTATGGATGAGTGAAAGATCAGTAACAAAACCAGAGACTTTGATTTGTTTTTATTAAACAAACAGACAAAAAAAATTCCTAAGAAAATTCAGTGTAAAGTTGGGAGGCGGAATTGTTTTTCCAGGAAAATAATTCTTCCGATTTAAATACAGATTTACATTGCTCTTTCTGCTTTGTTTAATGCTGTGTTGAAAATATATGTTCTATTTCCAGGCTCAGTATGAAAACCCACCACATATTTATGCTCTTGCAGACAGCATGTACAGAAACATGATTATTGACAGAGAAAATCAGTGTGTCATTATTAGGTAAGAGAAAGCTTGGTAAAAGAAATTGTCTTTTGTCCTATTTTTATGTTTTTTTTTTAACTTGAAGAAACTGAAAAGATTTTTTTTTATTGCATTAATAACAATCGGCTGTGTCCATGACTACTGATTATTTTGGGGTTTTCTAGGATAATTAAGTACTTTCTGACCCTACCTTTTGTTTTCCAGTGGAATATTGATGGTAACTTAACAGTGAGAGATCTCTTTCTCCCATAACCAGCTTCATGCCAAACATCAAAATCGCAATAGCTTGAATGACAACGTGAGAGATGGGTTAACAGCTATAACAGCTATAGATACTGTTAAACACTCTCCTGTTGATTGCATTTAACATACTCTGTTTTTATTTTTTATTTTTTGCTAAAAATAAATGTACTTTTGTTCCTTTCGGGAAGTTTGCTTGCATTCAGTCAGAGAGCAACGGAGAGAGATACTAGCAAATTAGTTTTGTCCTCCCCATTATTCCATTTTAATTATTAGGCTGAGAAAATTCATTGTAGGTATGTGGGAAGTGTTGATTAATACATATATGGAGGTCAGCCAGCTGTTAGCTAGCGGTTTGCTCCCCAGAGCCGCACTCCCGTAAGGAGCCCTCTGTTCCTGGGCCCCTGGCTGCAGCGTGGGGCCGTGTGACACAAAATGCCCAATGCTTGTGCCGTGTCTCCTGTCTCTCTAAATCATTCCCTGAGCTCAGCCTTCTTTTTGGAAAATTCTGATGCCCGTTGCCATGCTGAAGTTACCTAGTCCCGTTTGAGCAAATTCAGACCTGTTAAGAAGAGGTAAAATTTGGATTTATTTTGTTTTTTGAGCCAAATTAGATCCCAGAGCTTGGGATGTTTCCCATGGAGCTAAATTTATTTTGAAAATATGTCAAGTGTGGTCTTTAAGGTGTGGACTATGAAAAAACCCACAATTTTTGATCCATTGTTAATGCCCCAAAGTGCAATGAATGCAGAGGGTCAGATTTTCAGAGAGCTGAGATGCAGACCTAATCTGTTCTAATAGTCACCAATTTAAATTCTCACAAGAATGCTTGTGCTTAAGTGATGGATGGTGCGCTCCTTGGAGAGCCTGCACAGCATACGTGCAGGGTAAATTCTCCTCAGACATATGCACAGCCTCTTCAAAATCTTCCTGTTATCATGCTTGAGTTACTTGAAATATAGTGCAAAACTGAGGGGAAAAAAAAAAATCATGTTTTCCAGGGTCATTTTATACAAAGTGTTCCTCTTCCCTTCTACATGTTGGGTTGTCCTAAGATTATTCTTGGGACAAAAACCAGAAAAACTGGAGGCTAGATTTATGGATGATGGTATTTGATTTTGGGACACTGAAGAATGGTTGTGAAATCATGTAACTTGACCATTCATAAAATCGATTTAGTTTGGTTTGATATTTTAATACTTTTAACCATATTTCCTCTAAATTGCTTAGATACCTCCCACATTTTTCTGATTATAGTGTCGTCACAATCTCTAATGGTTAGAGCTGGCTTGAAGGAGCAGTTTCTTGAATTTTAGTGTTTTGTTTCCTCTTACGTTTCATTTTATTCATTGGAGTTGCACCAGAAAGCATTGGGTTCTGTGGCACACTGGAAGCTCCCAAGATCCTGCAGCTCTTGAGTGAGGTGGATGTTTTAGCTAGCTGCATGCCCACTACCACAACATCCATTTCACTTCATAACTGCCAAGGACTTTCCAATCTCTACCCCTGAAATGGTGGTTCTTAAAAAAACAGAGGTATGGTTCTTTCTCCCTGTCTTTCAAATGAAACTTTGCATTTCAGTGAACCATAATTTTTCCATGAAAATTTGTCTCATGGGATGTTTTGTTTCTTCTTATATTACATTTTATTCCATGGATTTTAACCAGAAAATGATGATGACAATATGGTTATTATGAGATGCAGATTTGCTTCTCTTATTCACAACAAGTCTAAATTGGGAGTGACTTCACCGAAAATCCCTGGTGGAACAGAAGAAACAGAGCAAGTTAGTACAGAAACAGGCCCAGGTTTTCTTTTCCCCTCAAGCTGGTAATGAAATTGTTGTTGAAGGTCTTGCAAAGAGAGAAAGGAGGAAATCGTGTGTAAACTGGACTGACGTCAGCTCAAAGAGGCAGCACCTGGCTTGTGGGGCACAAGGAGTCCAGCGAACAGAGACGACAGGACGATGGGGAAAGGCTTGGTGCACACCTCCTTCTTCTTGACGTGTCTTCTGGGCATCCCCTCTGGACCTGGGTGGGAAGCGCTTTCAGATCCTAGGGACTAGGCACAGATTTCCAGGCAGGTGAAGGAACAGCCCAGCTGTGTGTATGTGAGGGTCGCGTGGGCTTTTGCCAGCACGTTTAGTCCCAGAATCCCAAATACTGCGTTTAGACACTGGCTGGAAAACTTGATCCTATTCAGAGAGCCAGAGCATTAACTAGGAAAGCCTATACAAAATAAAATACAGTTCTCTGAAAGACTTAATAGATAGTAACCAAATATGATCTTCTTATATGATAATACTCATTAAAAAGGAAAACCTCAGCAAACAACCTTTCCAAGGCCAGACAGGCCTGTTTCATTAGTGGAATAGTTGCAGCATATGTGCGTATGTGCTAAGAAAATTATATGTACGCATGTCTAATTATAGCTGAGGAGGCATGAGCTATTTTGAATGGCTGCGCAGAGCATAAACAGTGAGTGCAGTTACTGGTGGGCTGGGCGCTGGCGAGGCTCAGCGCAGGCGCAGAGCGGGTGCTTAGGTGGGAGGCGGCGGCGGCAGCCCGCCCCTCGCTTCGCGCGTGTGGCGCAGAATCAGAGGCAGTGTGTTCATGGGGAGCCTCTTTTGCATCAGCTGCAGTTTGATTTCTCGTTGCATTTATGTTTTATTGAGGCACGGTGCTTTATTTAAGCCTCTGTTGTACTGGGCTTAGAAATGTCTTCTCCGGGAGATTGTTTGCAGTTCTCCCTCACCAGCGATGGTGGCCCTTCCAGAATAGCCATAATGAGTTGTCCAACCCACGTTTTAATCCTGCAGGGTTGTCTGCTGTGGCTTTTCGCTTCCTCTGGACTGTTACTGTCCTCTAATGAGGACAATGGAGATTACAATTAGTGTTTTTATGTTGTGTAGCAATAAATGTCTTTCTTTTCAGATTGTTCTTGAAGTCTTACGTTCCCATAAAGTTGAGGACTTTATTTCTGCCCTTTCTTACTGTGATTCCTGCCATGAGATTTTGCAGGTGCTTTAAAGCAGTTTTTCAGTCCTTCTTCTTGTTTTTAATTTTAGTTTACGTTCCACCTCCATGGGGCAATCTTTGGGTACAGTAAAGCTATGTGATAGGGCTGCATACCTGAAAATACAATTCGACATCTTAAATATTGCAAATGTGTGGGGACAGAGAGATCTCATACCACCCCCACCTTTTTGTTTTTTTTTTTTTTTTTTAGTAAGGAACTCATGTCTGTCTTAAACTGATGAAGGTCAAAATTTAATATGAAATTTCTAGCTGACTTCTATATCACAACTTTCCAGAAGCCTCAACTGATTGATTTTTCTAAAACTTCTCCAGTACAGAATCCAGCTGGAGACGTGGTTGAATTTTAATGAGGAAGTGGTATGAACATAAGTCTAATGCAGTCAGAAAAGTTAGGCAAAATCTCAGTTGCAAAAGGGAAAAATAGTCCACTGAGGCTATGCTACTGAAGTTACTCTGAACATGATTAAAGAAAACAAATTTTATGTGTAAAAAATCTAACAAGCTTATCCATGCACAACAGAATATTTTACATATACAGTGTTCTTTACTTGCAGATCCAAGAGTTCTTTATAAATATTTATTAATAAAATTTCCACATTGTCCTGATGATGTAGATAAGTGTTACTTGTATTGTTCTGTGGTCAGGGAGACTAAATTAAATGTCACTCAGGAAATTAATTTTAGAGAGAAGAATGAGGCTCTGTATTGGGTGTTGCTTCTGTAATCGCTGGATTATTTTTCCTCTGGGAAAGAAGGAGCTACACATTTTCCCTCTGCATTTGTAGTTTTATTCTGATTTCAACTAAGGGTTAATTGAGGTTGCTGAAAAAATGTCTCTTTTTTGAAGTAGCAAATAGTACTAGAAGAAACAGTATGATTCTGTAACAGTATTAAAGTGATACCTGTTTTGTTAGCAACTGAGAATATATAATATTTTTATTTTTATTGAGTAAACTCTCTAGGCTGAAAATTATCAGTACCATAGTTTGCTTTCCATAATTCACTTCTTGCTTTTTTAAGCCATTATCTTCCCTTTTTCAACCTTTGAAAAGCCTTACACTTTCAAGGTATTTAAAACTACCAAGTAAGAAAATGATTCTTGCATCATCTTACAAGAGCTGGAATAGCTGCAGAGCAGCAAGTTGTATGTGGGAATCCGCTGAGAATAATTTGCTGACGTTGCCACAGTTCCCATGTGGCAGCTGAGTACCTGAGCTTTGCTGAGGGCAAGATACCGTCCCTTCGGATAAAGTTACTGCAGTTCATAAGTAATGTATCAGCATCCTGTTTTAGTCTAATTTAATTGGAGCAATTTGCTAGTATCTAATCAATAAACTTTAAAACTGGAAAAAGGTATATGCATGCATAAATCTGAAGCAAACTTTCAAAGGCAATCTTTCAGCCAAACGCATTTCAGGTAAAGGACCACTTACATCCAAACAGCGACTATCAATAAAATGGAATTAAGTTCCTCCGGATCAATTTCCATGACAGCCACTGTGGCATAAGTACTAAAAGCCCCGCTTAATTTGAACAAAGAGGAGGGTAATTTAGGCATTGAAGAAAATGTTTGTTCAGAGCTTTTCCTGCCACTTTTCTAAGCACATCTTTCTTCACTCCCAGTGCTTCTTCCTCCACCCTTGTTCATCACTAGAAGATAGCTTAGAGGTGAGGCTTTTAAAATAATTTTAAATGAAAAGTGGACCAGATGTAGGCACAGCTTTCAGGATAAGTTTATAAACTTCCCCAGCTGCAGCTGGTTTTACGCTGCAGCATACCAGTATTTGCTGGTATTCTTGAAAGACCGTAGGAAAACTATGTACCTGTACCACAACAAATTCTAGGGGTAGCTGTGTGCCTTTGAAAATCCAAGTTGTCACATACAGATTTTTATCTACTATACCATTCAGGCAACATCTTTGACAACTACTAGTGGCTATCTGGCAAAATGCTGGTCGAAGGCAGTCCAGCAACTATAAGAGGAAGTTTGCAGCCTGCTGAACTGTCCTAGAGCATCTCCATAAAAAATGCTGTCAGCACTCCGTGGGGGACTGTACATCTTCCCTATGTTCCGTAACTGATAGCAGGGAGTTATATGATAATCTATCCGTATCTGGATATCCGGAGTATCCGTAAAGGGCAGAATCGTGCTGTGCACTGCCATGCCGTAGGCGGCCGGGCATCGCTCGGGATCTGCATCGCGCTGCTGCCCCGCATGCTCCCTCCCGTCCTGCCTCCTGCATGGCACCTAGTCCCAGGACAGTACTGTCTCTGCTCTTGGAAAAGCTTTGCAGGCTTATGCTAAACATACAGCATCATATCTCTTCGAATCTTCTGTTTATTATTGTCTACTTAAGAATTTTAAGTCTCCAAACCCCATTTAGTTAAAGGGAAGAAAATACTGAAACAGGACAAGTTGAAAGCGAGCTGACCGCAGCATTCGTAGACCGTCATGATGAAAGGTCTGTTGCTGATGGGAGAAGATAACGCAAAGCAGTGTAGAGCAGTTCTCTGACTCTGGTTCAGAGTTAGCAGACAAAATAGGAGCCTTTAAAACATGTGCTATTTTATGGTTACCTAGTAAAATACTGGAACAGGTACCTGAACAACATTTGAGAACTTTGAATTTTGTTTTAATGATTGGTTAGAGGAAACTGAAGCTATTTAAAGTCATTCTGATTCTTAGAGTTAAGCTTCAAAATACTGTAAGTGTAAAATTTGTATTTTAGGTAGACAGTATGTTTGTCTTGTATTTTACTGGGGTGAAGTTCCAGTTGTTCTGGATGTTCTTTATGTTGAAAATACTTAATAGAATCTTACAGAAATGTGTTACCTTTCACTGCTTGATCAGTAATATCTGGTTATATTCATTCAGTGTTTGGCTCCAGATCCTTTTCTGTGTTCTGCTGAAGACTGCATTTATTTCTAAGCTCAAGAACGTGATTCAGGATAGACTGGCTTGTGTGTCTTGTTTTGCAATACAACAAGCAAATTTGCTGTTAGCAGATTTTGGTTTGAAGAACTGTTATTTTTAATTCTCAAACTATTGCTGACATGGACTTCTAGTTTGCTGTCCAGCAAACTCAGCCTGTTCCTGTGAGTATAGCAGATGCCAGTAATAAAGATTTTCTTCTCCTTTATGCTTAGGAAAAGGTGAATCAGTTTGAACAATAAACGACACGATGCACACTTCAGTGAGGTCTCAGAACACAGTTGAGATGATCAAAAATGTTTTTTCCTGTTTGATTTGTGCAGCTGCAGTCAGGAGAAGACAGAAGTGCGAAGACATTTTTGGCAAAAAATTCCTTTCAGTATTTCTGCATTATTTGGAAGCTTTAAAGATGTAAAATAATATTTGCGGCTTGGCAGTTTGGGGGAGCTTTTTAAAATTATTGGAGACATTTGGAAAGGTCTCCATTACTTACGCTGTGAGAAGAAGCTATGAGTTGACATTCTTAGCAAATCCTTTTGCTGTGCAGGACATGCTGATGTTTCTCTGGCAAATGTAGCTAAAATTTGCTCAGGAAAAGATGTGCACTTGATCCACATCCAGGAACAAGTAGGCACAGGATAGAAGAGGCAATATTCACTGCAATTATTCAGAAGCCCAAAGATAGCACAAGAAAAAATATTTCAGATATCATTGTGACATCAAAGCAACATGTGTGCGTTGGTTTTTGTATTACGATAGTTGTCCAGGTCAGGGTAAGTTATTTACAGTCAAAGCTGACTTTTGTACCAAGATTTATGCAAATCTGGAGATAGCTTTACGGTATGAAATAAGGTATGATATCATTTTAACATGCCAGTCTTTTTCTCCCTCTTGAGAAGCTCTTGCTAATTGTGAGAAAGCAGATCTACTGATGTTGTAAAATGTATTCACCATTGAAGTGAATATTTTAAAGGAAGGAAGGAATTGTGAAAGCTAGTATGGGATATTAAGACTTCTTGTACCCTGTGTCAAGAGGCATAGGAACAGGAAGGTAGTTCTTCCGTCATTCAGGATGTGATTAATAATGTCTCATTATTTCATTCAGGAACGCCTAAAACAAAAGACTCTTGAACTGAGGTAGGCATCTGGCATGGCATATGAGGCCTGAAATCCCTCTGAACTTAAATGGGAATTGTGTTCTTAGCGCGCTTGGGCTGCTTTGAGTTTCTTGGCTTGAGCATATTCATTTCTCAATTTATATTATTTTCCTGCTTTTGAAGTCCAAAAGAGATGTTGGTGTCCATGCCAGATGTTTCATTCAAAATTATTTATTGACAGACATGTCCAAGTACCGTGCTACAATACTAGGTCACTGTCTATATGTGCCCAACTTACCTAATATAAATTTGGTGTATATTTATTACTATTCCTTGCTAAGGTACCTAGTCATGGTTGAACAAGAGAAACCTTAAATAACTCCAGTGAAAAGCAGAGTTACTTTGCATTTGCAATAATCTTCAGAAAGGATTCCAGATACGTAGCAGCACACCAGAAAATATCTGTGTGGGAAGACTCCTTGACAGAAGTGACAATTTGTTGTTTATCTTTCAGTTATGTTTTCATTAGAGTTTGCTTCTAACTGGATCATAGTGGTCTGTTCATGTTAGATATTTTAAGCTTTCCATAGCCTCCTCTGTGTCTTGTTGGTGTTAACATATCTAGGCAGAGTGGCCTTGTGCATTTGACTGATTTCCCCATGGTTTTCACACTGAACCATCTAACAGGAGTGCTTTTGTATTTTTTATTTTTTTCATAGCGGGGAAAGTGGTGCTGGAAAGACTGTAGCAGCTAAATATATCATGAGTTACATCTCCAAAATTTCAGGAGGCGGCCCTAAAGTGCAGGTGAGTTGCTGTGGGGTAACACTGAAGCATAAGCATAGTCTCAGGACTGACTGGGGCAGTGTGGAAAACGGTTGCCTTGGCAGACGCGGGCAGCCGGGGAGCTCTCTACCCGAAACGCTTGCACGTGAGCTGCCGCAAGCGAGCGCAAGCCCTCTCGAGCCCTTGCTTGCACATCCGCCAGCCCCCCGTGCGGTGTGCGCCTCCGCGGGGAAACCCACAGAGCCAGAGTGATCTCTGTTAAAAGTTTCACCGCTTCCAAGCTGAATAATGTATATAAGCATTTTTTTAATTTTTATTGTTCTTAACCAACAACAGCCTTGTTGTTATTGTTATTATTATCATCTTCGTAGATAGAATCTTTTTTCCCTTGTCTTGGCTTTTTGTTGAAAACTGAACTGGTTCATGTTTTTGTTACTTGCATTATGAGTTGTATATATCCACAAGAGAGCAAAGAGCAGAAACATTGTCTTGTTTTATGAGGCAATGGAGTTTCTAAAAGCTAGCTGAAGCAGCAAATGGTTGCTTTTGTTAATGACTGTATCACCAATGCCTGCCCTGTCTACTTAAGCCTGTAAACTGAAGCTAATGTAGTGAATTAGCCAGAAAATTCCCTTAATGAAGTTACCTAAGGACGTTTGTTGACTGATAGGCAGTGATACCTGAGTAGCAGCTACTTTTACCAGTCTGCTCTTTTTGCCTGCTCACCGTTACTTATTTGCCTTGTTACAATCTCTGGTGTTGCGTATGTGCTTCCTGTTTAATTTTGAGCAGAAGCGATAGACGAACGCCGCACGGAACAGCTCGGCAGCAAAGGGAGCAGTCCAGGGAAAGTGCGCTTTGTGTCCTTTTTGGATATCATGCTTTACTTCAAAAATAAATATCTTGGTTGATTTAAAAAAAATCCAGCTGTTTGTATAAAATTAAAAATACTGCTAGTTCTTACAAAGTAACAGTTGATGAAGTTGACGCTCTGCCTCAAGCATTACTTTTGAAGTGAAGTTCAGTCTTGCCGACACAACCTAGCATGCATTAGGTCTGCTCAGAAGCTGATAGCTTAAGAATATTCCAACTCCTGGAATCAGAGACAGAAATAATAGTAACCGGCTGACTGTTGCTACCTACACCGACTAGGCGGCAGCGTCACTGGTCCTGAAGCAGGTTGTTCAAGCACTCACAGCATCCTGCAGGTCTTGCTGCTCTGCCTTCACTGCTTGTGGTTCCAGACCCCCAACAAAGATTTAAGTGCTCACGTGGAGGAAGGAGATTGTTTAAGAACGAGACGGTGAGGAAAACCCAGCTCAATTTAATGGCTGTGTTGCTTGGCAGAGCAGCGGGCAGAAGTATGAGTTGTTTGCAGCCTCAGCCATTTTGTTCAATTTTATAGGATTTTCTCCAAAAACAGAAACTAGAACCTCTGAGGAAAAAGATGGTTAGATTGTATTCCTTGTCTGAGCAAGAGGATTTTTTTCCCAGATGCAGGCTTTCTTGCTTCTTTTACTTATAATTTAGGTGTCGTGGTTTCCTAGAAAAGCTCTAAGAACTCTAAAAATATGTATTTCTGAATCTATATTTCCCCTGTTTCATAAAATTTTAGCACGTGAAAGACATTATTCTGCAGTCCAACCCTTTATTGGAGGCCTTTGGGAATGCAAAAACTGTACGGAACAACAACTCCAGCAGATTTGTAAGTTCCTTTCCCCTGGAGATTACTTTATTCTTTCTACTTCTGTGCTATTAGAGAGACATTGTTCAGGAGTATAGTACAAAGTGGCTACAGAATTGGTAAATACAAGTCAAGTACAAAGTGCATTTTAAGACATGAAGTATATTTTGAGAGGCTTGTATTTCATTCTGTATAGATTGCACATTTGTTTCTCTCACAATACATACTTGTCACAAGTTATTTTTAAAATATTCAATCTGTAAGCAAACAGCTTACTAGCAGCAAACTGGCCTATTTTCATGGTCAGTAAAGTACATGCAATAATGTGATGTTTTTTCAACAGATGAAGCCGTTGTTAGACTTGATTGATGGGAAATAAGTTTACTAACATGTACAAAAAGTAGGGAGGAATTATTTTTGGTCTCTCATTATAAAGTACTTAATTTTGTGAAATAGGTGTTTACTAAATAACATGCTATAGGGTCAGTTTTGAAATTTTACATATAAGCTTTACAGATTTGGAAAGAAAGAATGTTCCGTTCTAAAATTTGTGTAAAATGGAATGAGAGCAAAATCATAGTACAAATCTGAGGCTAATTGCACTGCTGATTAGACAGATCTCTGTTTGCTACAAGTAGAACTGTGTCCAGCAGCAGCAGTAAGGAAACTAACCTCTCTTTTTCCTAATTTTAGGCCTTTGTGGAAAATATACAGTATATGCATCTGTATGTAATATCATATGAATATGTTGATGAAAGTTTACATATAAAATATGACTGCTGGATTCTGCAAGAGGAGAGAATTGTAAAACTGTCACTCATGTTTTTTTCTTCTGAATGTTATCCACTGTTTTTCCCCGGTTAGATTGGTCACTGAGGATGAAAACTGATTAACCTCTTGGTTTTCCATTCCTGTTGTCCATTTTATTGTGCAAAGCTAGTGTAAGGGTTTATTCCACAGCCAGCGTGAATGTTAATGCAATTAATGTCTCCCTAAAAGAAAAATATATTAGTTTGCCTTGCTTCCAAGCAGAAGGCCATATTTGCCATTGGTCATAAATCTGTTAAATTTACTTGCAGTGCAGGTGGCCCTTATGGTTTCATTTACACTCAGCAGGGAAAAGAAGCCCCTCACTTTCTCTCTACCTTTGCATTAATGCTTGATGTCTTATCCTGAGTCTAGCATCGTAAAAATGGACATGGAAAGAAAGATATGTGATAGTTTAAGAATCTAGGCTTAGTTAAATCTTGAGGCATCTGAATCTCTGTACCCGTAAAGATTAAATATCCTAGTAACCTGTCTTGAGACATAGTATAACAAGCACCTGATTGCAAATTAGTATTTACTAATCGTTCAACAGCCTCTATATTTATTTACTGCAGGGGAAATACTTTGAAATCCAGTTTAGCCCAGGTGGAGAGCCAGATGGTGGGAAAATCTCCAACTTCCTACTGGAAAAATCTCGAGTCGTGATGAGGAATCCTGGAGAGAGGAGCTTTCACATTTTTTACCAGGTCAGAAGTGTATTTCTCCTTTATCAATTACTAAAAATAACTTTTAGGGGTTTTTCCTCTGTGTTGAAAAGTCTTTCTCAACACAATGAGATTCCTGAATGCAAGAAGATCTGGTTATCACTGGGAAGCTTCACAGCTTGTTAAGACACTATCTAACATAGACCTACCCAGTTGCCTTTCAGTTCCAGAAAAAAAAGTACTTAAGTATTTCAGGGGATCAGCTTAGAAATTCACAGCAGATTCCCAAATGGAAAAGTCCAACTGAATGTAACAGGAAGTGAGAACTTTCCAACAGCTTTTTTTTTTTTTTTTTTTTTGAACTGGTCTGTATAATTAGACCTTCTGCTCTGGAATTCTGTTGCACAGCTTTTTTATTTTTATTTTTTTTTAACATTTCTTAAGGCTTTTCCTTATGGGTTTTCTTGCCGTCATTGGTCCTTGACATGAAAGTTCCTTACTTGCTAAAGTCCCACTGATCAGGTTCTACAAAACTAGAATAAAGGCGATGCAATGTAAGTGACTGTAACAGCTTCACATAAAATTGAAGTGACATTGTGAGGATAGAAAGCTGAGTTGGACCTGGGATTGCTCCAGGAGCTGTGCATTCTCCTCTTCTGAGGTATGTGAATGCTGTGTGCTGTCCCGCTGATTTTTCCCAGTCTGGCTAGTCTCTTGGTTTTGACATAAAAGTTAAAAGACTACAGGCTTTTGACTTCTCCACTATGAGATCAGTTTGCTCATTGCTTTCTACTGCAGCTGTGTCTAGGCACCACTGTGTAGACTGTGCATAGGTCTGAGGAGTGCATAGGTCTGAGTCTCTCTTCAGCCATCACAAGGACAGGAACCTTTTTTAATTACACAAAGGCATTTATCCCCAGCCCCGCTGGCCTAAATGATGCAAAGAGGTGTGACTGAAACAGGTTTTACTTGATTTCCTAGCAGGCACAACTGGTCAATAACAGGTCAATAACAGGACAATAACAGGTCGTTATAGATCAGACATCAACACAGTTTTGGAGCAGTTCAAAACCAGCTTGATGTGCCCTATAATGGGGATGGAGGATACTTGGCCTCATAATCAGTTACAAATGGTGCTTTCTCAATGTATTCTCTGAACTCTGCCTACCTTTGAGTAGGCATGGAAGACAAGCTGCTCTTGAAGGTTTAGCTAAAACGTGAGAGAGTGGAAAAATACCTTTCCCTTATCTTGATGGGATAAAGCTAATGGAACGTATTCAAATCAGTCCCAGTTTGCCCTTTATATTGGATACAGAAGTTAAAAAGAGCTAAGTCATTCATGTGAATGAGAATGACGATGTGGTCTTTCTGGTTAAACAATTAGCAAAACACAAGAAGCATACACATCTGGCACAGCTTTAACCATATCTCTGTCCAGGCAATTCCAAACTCGGTCACCTGTTTCTCTGCTGAAGAGAATTACGTGATACCTAATTTGGGGATTTCGTTTCTGCAGCTAATTGAAGGGGCCTCCTCAGAGCAAAAAAGCAGTCTTGGCATCACCCGTATGGACTACTATTACTATCTGAATCTCTCTGGGTCCTACAAAGTAGACGACATCAATGACAAATCTGATTTCCAAGAAACTCTGGTGAGTTTTTGACTCTCTCTCTCTCTTATTGGCTTAGTGATGGATGGATGTTCATTCCACTGTCCGTTTATAGTAAAGACATTGATGTATGATTGTGGGAATGAGAAATTCATGCAGCTGCAACAGTTACCTTTTACCCTGAGGAAGAGCTTCTCCTTTGTTGCAGCCTAACAATCTCTCGAGAAGATAGCTGCCAGTCTGTTGATTCATAGACCTTTTAAACACCTTTGTGTTTTGTTTGCCCCCCTTTCAGGAAGGTGCAGATATCATGGAATTTAACTGAATGCAGATGAGCTACATGTTCAGAATCTGCAGCATAAAGGAACTTCCACTGAAAGAAAAAAAAAGTACTATGTTAGCCAAATTCTTAGTGGTGACTGCTCTTCCATGCCTATTTAAAAGCAGCACAACTGAAAGAGCTGGAAAAAGGGAATTGGAAAGTATAGATCAGAGATCATCTAGTACAGCTTTGCATTTGTTAGTCTCAGTAGATAAAGAATCTGTATAGAAGGAATAAAATTGTTATAGCTTGAGTTCATCGTTTCCCATTTTGCAATGAAACGACTCATTTTCGCTATGGCACAGAGAAGAGCTGATGCTCATTGTTCAGTAACTTTAATTACTCCAGAATTTATTTTGTTAACACATATTTTATATGGTGTAGATGTTTCTGTACTTAATTATTTAAAAAGAAATCATGAAGTAGGACACCTATAACTTTTGAAGCTTCAGCGCAGACTGATGAAAATTGGTTACCTTAAGTATTTGAACTCTTTTGAAGAACTCAAGTTTTTTTAATCAACTTTTTACAAGGACTTTTATTTAAAAAAAAAAACACCCTTCATATTGAACAGATTATTTGACTGATTCTATGTTGATTTCTTTTCTCTTCCCAGCATGCAATGAATGTGATTGGGATCTTTGCAGAGGAACAGGCATTGGTACTGCAGATAGTGGCAGGAATATTACATTTGGGAAACATCAGCTTCAAAGAAGTTGGCAACTATGCAGGAGTGGAGAGTGAGGAGTGTAAGTACCTCTGTTACAGAATTAGCAATGGGCTGAAACCCAGATGGCATGAGGTAAACTGCAGTCTTGAGCTGCTTATCCAAATACAGTGCATCGTTTTCCACAGTGCAAGGCTACTAATTCAAATTCTCTTCCAAAAACAGTAATGGCACTGAGGCCTCTGTTTTGTCTTGTACAATGCCATTGACTTAATTAATAGAAACATAATTTTGCGTTTTGAATTTAAGAAATCTTTTTCCAGCTTCTGAGTATGAAATAACAGAAATAGTGAGCGATGTTTTTGCAGCAACCTTGAGCTCTGCTTCTTTGAATATATTAGCACTCATTCATAAGCAAACCTGTTCCTTATGTGGTCTGTCTGACCTCACCCCCATGTGGAAGCAGCTACCAACCTGTGGAGTATCCTCAGTTTTCATGTACAGTGTCAGGTGCACAGTCAGCGCTCAGCCAGTTGTGTATGTGTCCAGAAAAGTTGCATTGAAAACACACTGAAATTCACAGTAAACTATACTATTAAATGTTAGCTTCCCTGTCTCGGGTCTCTTCACTCATACCTCATTAGCAGGTACTTCTACCCTGTACATATGTCTTATTATTTCCATACACACGTTGCACAGTCCTGGCTTCCCTCACCTCTTACTGCTGTTTTATATCAGCTGGGCCCACATCAGCAAGATGCTGAAGCGCTAGTAGTTCTACAGCGTTTAACCTTGTTGTGGCCTGTAGCTTGACTCTAATGTTAGTTTTGTACTTGTTTGACTTTACTAGCTTACAAGGGATAAGCACGATATCTGTAGTAGCTTACAGATGACTATCTGTTCTATTTAACTGTTATTTAAAAAATGGTCCTTGTTGATTTTTTTGATGTTTGTGTTCAGGAAAACTGCATTTACTAGATGAGTTTTAGGCAAGTCAAGTATAAAGAAGACTTTCCACTCAAGTGTATTAGTGCTCTCCTGCTATTTGCTTTTAAGAAAGGGACAAATTAAAATGACTAATCTTCATATGCAATTTAGAAGAATAGTGAGCAAACCTGAAGAAAAATATTTTAGGGCATTTTATAAATCCAAAGAAAAGTATAGGATTTTAGATATGCCATAAGATTCCAAGTGAACTACTGTGCTTCCATTTAAATTGTAGTATTAAATCTTTCAGTGGAATCAAAACATTTAATAGCCAGACTTAAAAGATAGGTACTGAACATTTTGCATCAAAAAGTAACAAACTGAAAAGGTGCATGGGTTAAAAGCAAAAAGTTGGTAAATGTGAATGGATTTGTACAGGGAGCCACATACATCATATTTTTCTCGCTCACTGGGATCTCAATACAAAAGTTATGTATGAATAATACACAGAAGAAATGTAGCAGATAGAATGAATACAGAACTAACTCATAAACATATTGCGCTTTAAAGAAGCCAGCAAAGACATAGCAACGCCTAGTAAAATTTCTGCATTGTGAAGCTGAAAGCTGGGCTCATTTCTCTCTCCATTAATAACTCCCCCCGCCCTGCTCCATGCACAGCTTGTTTCTACTAGCCACCTAAAGAGTAAAGAGCTTATATCTGACCACAGCCTGGATAGCTAGAAGAGATATAACACAGTTGATCACTGACTAGTCATGCTTTGCATATGTCTGAAATAATGTCCGGTTTCAGAACTTGGCTCAGCAGTGTTCTTGTTGTTATATAGCCAGTTCTAGAAAAACTGTTTCAAAGGCCATTTTTCAAGAAGCTGAAGACTCCAGTCCCTTACGCTTAAGTCAGGATCAAACCTACACAGACCATTCTTGACAGGCACGTAGGAAAACAGTTCTTTAAAACTGCCAGTGGCGAATAGTCTATTATCTGTTCTAGTGCTTGATTATATTTGTAGTTGAAAGGATTTTTCTTAGTATTTATACTAATTCTTCCTTGTTGCAAATCATTCCAAATACTATTCTGGATGGATAGAGAAAGCAATTTAAACCATCTCTCGTTTCGGTCATTTTCTATTGGGAGATTTGTATTCTCTCTCTGCTTTAAACTTGGTGAAAACCCAAGAAACAAGCCTAGTCTTTTGCAGCCTTTCTTCATAGGTTCTTTTTATTGCTCTCCCATAGAACACTATTGGTAATTACTCTTTGAGGATAGTTTTTTCAATTACACGTATATCCTACTTTATAATAATTTCTAGACCATATCTCTACGGTCCTTAACTAGAGAAAATGATCAGGTGTCTTAAGAATGTCACATTATATCAAATCAAGTTCAGCACTTCTTCCTTCCCGGTAAATCATTAACACTATGAAGGAAGAGTTTCTGAGGTATCCATGGTATAATGATATCCATTATCTTGCTGTCTTCATAAATCCTTACAGTAATGCTGGCTAATTATTTATTCTGGCAGTATACCTGAAGATATTTGGTCTATAATTCCCCACATTCTCTCTTCCCTTTTAAAGCATAGGATAAGATATTTGCCCTTTTCCTGTGCTCTTCAACCTGCAGTCCTCAGTGAATTATCAGAGATGTTGCCAATGAGTCAACTTTGGTTAGTTCCTTGGTTACTAGTGCCCTAGGGTAAATTTAATCAGCTTCCTGATCGTAATTAATCAGATTTCAGAAAGCTAGGAGTTATTTGCATTTTTAAAAATACTTGTGCATTAATGTACTAAAAGGTTTAAAGAAGTCAAATCGTGTTGTGGATGTTGCGGATGTACAAAGCAAAAATGGCAGCTGCCTTAGTGATTATTTGACATCCTCTTCACAGCAGTAGAGTGGATCTGAAAGCCCAGGAACATCGGTGAAACATTGTTAGAGGATTATGTGGTTTAGTGGAGGTGCAACAGTAACTCCAAGAGATGCTCTTGGGAGCTGTTTCTGGGCCCTCTCAAGCCAGTTTATTTTTTTCCATTCCTGAAGGTGTGTAACACTTGCAACTAACTTCTGTACCATGTGCTAAAAAAGCAAAGAATTCTAGACTTGAGGCTCCTTATTGCACAGATGTCTTTTTCTGCTCTGCTTCTACACAAGGAAAGCCAGAATTTGCAAAGTACTTCCAGAAGAAGGGATTTATAAAATGAAAGAAAAAAAAAATCGCAAGGCAACTGAAGTTTCCTGTGAAATACTAACTTAGAAGAGGAAAGGGAAAGACTATTAGGAGACGGATAGCAGTAATCTTTCTTTATTATATTTTAAGCATGTGCTTTTTTACAAAGAATTTTCAGTGGTGTCAGTTTTATTTCATGTGCGAGTTCCATGTCTTATTTCCAGTTCTTCCAGCAATGATTTGTTTGAACCACAGAATTCAAAACTGTGACCTAAGCCGGCTTATGTGCTTGGAGCACTGGAGGTACAGAACTAACTGACTATTTTACTTTGAGGTGGTTTATCTTAATTAAAATCCGTATAAGCAAAGAGTTGAAAATGTCCTTGGGGAGCTTAGAGAAATTTTTAAGACGTAAATCCCTACTCTTTCTCTTTTAAGCCACATCCCATGAGGTTTATTACGGCTGATTGTTATTTGAGATATTGCTGAGTTTTTTATTTTATTTTGTACTGGCTTAGTCTGTAAATCACAATTCAGCAATCCTAATCCTTCTTGCAGTTTTGGCTTTTCCTGCTTTCCTCCTGGGAATTAATCAGGACCGCCTAAAGGAAAAACTGACCAGCAGACAGATGGACAGCAAGTGGGGAGGCAAATCCGAGTCCATTAACGTAACGCTAAATGTGGAGCAGGCCTGCTACACCAGGGATGCGCTGGCCAAAGCCCTTCATGCCCGTGTCTTTGATTACCTGGTGGATGTGAGTTGAATTTGATCGAGTCTCCTACTGCAGTATTGAAACAAGTAAAACTACATTGCGAATGTTTCTTGCAGCGCTCTTTTTGTCCAGCATCATCTCCTTCATCTAGAATGCTCCTTGGCCTAAACATTAGCAGTAGCACTGAGCGCTCCAGTGGGAGCATGCCCACAGATATCAGATGCCAGGCACTGGCTAGAAGACAAATGCTTACACCTTTTTTGCAGGTGTGAGTGAATTAGCTGTGCTTTCAGCATTGCGTCTCCTGCTATGACTGTCCTATATGATATCCTGACGTTTCCTCCTTTCTGCCAGCATCCATACTTCTCTAAAGCTAGGGTCTTGCTTTCTCCTACTTTGTTAAGCGTTTTCAGATGAGCAGAATTACAGTGGGTTATGTTACTGGTCCCTTATTCTCTTAGCCCACTCTCCTGAGGAGAAATCCCTTAGCATCCCAAAGATGGGGCATTTGAGCAAATGCTGGTCTCTTCTGCGCTCTGCTCTCCACGCTGAAGTACTCTTCCTTCAAAGGAGACGCCAGGCTGCGCTGGTGAGGGGAAGCCTTTCCTTTGGCCACGGAGGCAGAGGGCTGCTCTGTGGTGGCAGCGCTGGTGTCTCGGAAATCTTCTTTGTGGTGACATTGTTGTAACTCCTAGTAGGTGTCTCTGTTACCAGCACTGGCATTGCAGAATAGGGGAAATACAGAAATTACTGAAAAGATTCATGTTACTATCTGTAGAATGCATCAAATATCAAATTTGCAGCTGTTTATTTTTTTTTGGTTGGCCCCTTTAACTGAGTAGGTTACTCCGAATGAGAAATGATTTCTACAAACAGTAGCTCTGAAAGCTCATTAGCTTGGAAAACACGATACTGTTCTGTTCATTCCCTAGCTCTTAATAAGAGCTTTTTATTAAAATAAAAGTGAAATACCCTATTACATACACTTGTATTCTGTTCAAATGTTGTTGTTTACGAAATCTAGTATTTTAATATAAAGATTTAAGGATGTGAACATATGATTTAAGGATATAAATTATGCTCTATTTTACATATTGTGTTTGTTTTTCTATTAGTCCATTAATAAGGCTATGGAGAAGAACCATGAAGAATATAACATTGGTGTCCTTGATATTTATGGCTTTGAAATATTTCAGGTAAGGCAATGCAAAATTCAGTGTTTGAGCTGATCTGACCTGAGAGAGTATTTTCTTCTTGTTACCTAGAGGGGAAAAAAACCCCAAACAAGAACAAAAAAACCCCCAAACCCTGCAAAAAAAATCAGTTTCCTGGACATTCAGTACTCACTGGTAATGTCTCACTTAATAAACATGAAATATTGAAGAAACTTCAAAGGAACTAGGTCGTTGATCTTTATTTTGAGATCTGAGATTATGCAGAATGACTATAAAATCAGCAACCCATTCATCATTGAAAATATTCCTTTGAAGCTTCTTCTAATATTGCTAGCATACGACCTAGCAACTACTGTATATAGAGTATGAGACTAATTTCTAAACTTTTTCCTTTTTTATAGAAAAATGGCTTTGAACAGTTCTGCATCAACTTTGTTAATGAAAAACTGCAGCAGATTTTTATTGAACTGACGCTGAAAGCAGAACAGGTAACCGGACATTTATTATTTTTGAATTTATAAAACGAGCCATTGCCTTTTCATTTGGTGGAAAATTGAGGTTTTATCATCTGGTAACAATCAAATTTGCCTTGTTAAGCAAGACAAAGAAAAAAAATCTGTGCTGTTGGCTAGCCTTAAAAATGTAAACCACATCGGTTTCAGACATGTTCCAATACAGCAATACAAAAGTGAGTCCCTTATACAGTGTACTAATGCAGTCATATGACTGCCCAGTCTAGCTGCACCCCCCCTGACTTATTGACAGAAAAGGAAAACTGCAGCTTGGCTCCATCCCTGTGCTTTCCTTGGACATGACACAGTTAAACAGGAAAATGCTACTTTTCTTAGTTTCCTCCACACCCATTTCACTCTTTTTTTTTTTCTTCTTAACGAAATATATAACTGAGGCAAATGCACAGATGCTTTTGAAAGTATTTGCATTTCTCTGCTCACAGTCTCTTTGCAAAAATAAAATCTCCCTTTACACGAATGTGAGCTGCTGCATGGGAAAGGAGACAGTGTGCAGCTGAGAGGAGCATTGTGTGTGGTGTGAGCCCACGCCTGGCACCGGCTTTGGGACAAGGTTTTCAAGAATGCCCTTACACAAGTGCCTTTGTATAAACATAGCTGATCATTGCAGTTGAGCACACAAATGACCTGTTAAGCGTCTAGCTGGATTCATACGTATATAACTGAGTGAGCCACTTTAATCAAATTTCAGTATGATTTTTTTTTCTGTCAGTCTCTAGATGTCCTTATGGTTACAGTAATTGCATATAGAAATAAAAAGTAGGGCTGCATCTCCGTTTTATGTACATTTCTGAGTGTGTTTTTTGGGGAGTCTGATCCTTAATCTGCGTGTCTCAATCTTCTTCATTTTTAAAATAGTTTTAGGATATAGATGCCTAGCTCCATTAGCAAGATGCTGCAAAACCTGTTTTGTTGCTCTTTGTGAAGTGCTTTGACAATAATTCACTGATGAAAAATTCCTGCTCTTCTCAGTAACTACTCAAGGGCTATGAATGACACAAGATGCGTGGGGAGAACAGAGAAGGATTTTAATTCAGCTCTTGGGCAGTAGATAGCTGGATTTAGCCATCACATTGGTTATCCCCCCCGCCAAGCAACATAAACCTAACAGGTCTTCCTAAGCCTGAGCAGTGCAGAGCTTGTGTGTATGGAGTTCATTGTAAATCTACTGCTAGATCCACAGTGTAAGAGAATATCTGTGTCTTTCTTTTTACTTAACAGGAAGAATATGTGCAAGAGGGAATTAGATGGACACCAATAGATTACTTCAACAACAAAATAGTGTGTGACCTTATAGAGAACAAAGTGGTAAGTGTTTGGCACAAACGCAGATGGAAAAAACAGAAGAAGATTTTTTCTCTAAAGTAATTGGACAACTGCTTTGCTGTCAAGAACATTCACAGGAAAAATGCAAATACTGTTGTTCAGTAACTGAGTCATACTAAGCCTATATATAAAGTCTTATATAAGATATCTTATAAGGGCTATAAGGTACATGTTATATAAGGTATTGGCCAAAAACAGAACCGTAAGATACTGTTGAAAACAGTATGAATAAAAAATTCACTGGTTGGAAATTGAAACTTTATCCATCTAAATTTATTAAGGACTTTACAACAGGCAACTGTAGCTCAGACATAAGTGCCCCTGTGTCTCTCTCTCTCTCTGGGAGATCTGTTTCAGCTTGGGGAAGCTACAATTCCAGCCTTCTGTAAAGTATTGTAGCAAATTAAACAAACAAGTGAAAACAAAGTATTTGGAAATTTCATAGATTAAAAAAACTCATACCTCTCTGTTCCAAGGAGTGTTCTACAGTTTAGTTTTTATATCCTGATCTGGCATGACAACAAATATTGAGTTATCAAACAGTCCTTTAGGACAGAATTTTGTTTTGCTTTTTCAGCTAGTCTTTTGCCCTTATATAAGCCAATAACCTTTAACAGTAGTTGAAATAAAATGGTGACTCGTGCTTAACAGCACTTGAGATTTTGCTCATCTCCTGTCTGTCTGCATCAGGATAACTAGGAAAAGGATAGGATTTGTGTCACAACCTTAGATATTTAAGTCTGTTTGTTAAACTGCAGGATGAGAATTTAAATATTTATGTGAAATGTGGGTTAGTTTTTGCTGGAATGAGAAAGGGGATTACTTTGTGAAGTAAATATAAACTAAACTAAATAAATGTTTTTGAACAGCAGTCAAATTTCCCCATCGTTTCCCACTTTATCGCTAGTGTTCCACGAACTGCCATCTCTCCTTGAACTACTTATTTGCCTGCTAATGTACAAATTAATCTCAGCTGTGAACTCTGCTGATTGAGAGGGAATTCCTCCTGGCGTGACTTGCTCTAGTGTTTATGTAGTAACAACATTTTTCTTTTTGGGGAGAAAAACTGGCATCATAATCTTTTCTTTTTGCCTTCCTTTTTTGCTATTTTTGTTATTTCCCCCTGCTATGTTAGAATCCCCCCGGGATTATGAGCATTTTGGATGATGTGTGTGCCACAATGCATGCAGTGGGCGAAGGAGCTGACCAAACACTACTTCAGAAGCTCCAGATGCAGATTGGGACTCATGAACATTTCAACAGCTGGAACCAAGGATTTATCATTCATCATTATGCTGGAAAGGTAATATGGGAAATCAGCGCTGGTAGATATGGGACATCTACCTAATGTATTTTTTAAGAAAAAGAACAATAATAAAATGAAGGGGGAAGTGGTATCTCCAGAGGGCTACTTTGATTTTTAAATAGCCAGATTATCTCAGGAGACAGTGTCCTCCTTTCATAATTTAGGGAATTTAGGACGAATGTGCCCTAACATATCTCCCTAGTTAGGAGAGATGAATCTGGGCCTTGCTGCTAGCAAACACGCTAACCCAAACTTGACGTTAAATTTATGTAATGAATAAGTGCCTCTAATCCTTCATTAGTGAAAAAGTATTAATATCCTTGTTGGTTATAGTAGCAGTAGGTTAAAAGGATTCAGATAGGAAAAAAGATCCTTACTTGATGTTATAGCAATAAATCTGGGATAATTATGTACAGTTCCATCTTATTTGGGTATATTTCTCAGAGTATTCATGACTTATTTCAATGCTGCTCTATTTGATAACAGTAAACCCTTATGCAAAATATTTCTCATCTATATAATTCAGTATTAAATTCACTTGTGTTGTATTCCATTGCCTAGTTTCATAATATTCTTTTCCACTGAATGTAAATATACGTCTGGAATTGCTTTATGTTTGTTGTGAAAGAGTTAACTAAAATACGCGGTGATTTATTAATGATTTTAGCATTTTTAAGTAATACCAGACTAACCAAAAAGATCAGAACAACTACTGATGAGGACAGAATTTAAATTTCTTTAATTATTGGGTTCTCAACTTACCACAAACAATCAATTTCCACCTTGGCCCAGGTATCTTATGATATGGATGGATTCTGCGAGAGAAATCGGGATGTTCTTTTCATGGACTTGATTGAACTCATGCAGAGCAGTGATTTGTACGTAAGCAAAACTTGCTTAAAGCTAGGAATAATGTGTTAGTTCAGATGGATGCAGAGGGCCTGACTTCTCCACTACTTTCCAATTTGTGAACTCATTTGCCTAAAAGGGGGAATAAACATCACCGAGCAGTGGTTTGGAGAACAGTACTCTAGAACAGTATCACTTGCATTATGCTTGATCTTCATTTTCTGCAAATCTGACTGAATATGTAAGGTATAGCAGTGTCAGAATCAAATGGTATAGTGATAACCATTTGCTCTGGCCTCAGACAAGGCCCATCAATGATTTGGAGTTATCTCAGAGAAGGCTCTGTTTTTGAATGTATATAGTAGCATTATTTTGTTATGCACTTTAATTGATGTTTACTTTCTAAGAAGTGCTTGTTTCTTTGAGCCTGGAACTCTGACGTCACCTATCTTCTAAGGGCTCACTAAAATAGCAAAGGATCTCTATGAGGACTAAAGCTCTTGGAAAATACTAATCTTAAAATAGAGTTGATATAACTCCAGATTAACATAACTAGCTATTTATATTCTGCTCAACTATCAACTTTTACAGCATATTCCATGACATTTCTGCATTGAATTGTCTTTCTATAACAACACTATTTTATTAACTCTTTTCTAGACCTTTTATAAAGGCTCTGTTTCCTGAAAACCTCCAAGCAGACAAGAAGGGCCGCCCTACCACTGCAGGCAGTAAAATTAAGGTATGTTTAGTTTTGCTATGCTGATGTGTGCATGCATGTGTATATGTATGTATATCTGAATTAAAAAACAGTTTGCTGTTTTTCACTGTCCAAACATTTTTAAAGGTAGACTTCGGGGTATGCTGATTGCAAAGTGATATATTGTTTCAGCTGTTAGAATCACATTTCAGCTAACATTTTGTTCAACCCTATTCTGCAGCAGTGAATTTTCCAAGTGAGCAGTTGATGGTAGCGATAATAGTAGTCGCATGTGCGTAATGAATGAGCCCCTTCACTCAGCCACTTGATGTCCTACAATTAACTACAGATAACTGGTCTCTACAGTGCAGAAATGCAGCCAGGCCTGATCTGACACCCACTGAAGTCAGCAGAGGGCTTTCTATTGACCGTAATGCACGCTGAATCAGGCAACTTTTACGCATCTTTTCTGGATCCTGGGTGTAGAGTATATGCTTAGATGACATGCTTGTGTAACTTGGAAATTATATTTTTTCAGCCTCTTTCCTCATATTTCACCTTATAGTCAAGTTCATCTGATGCATTTCCCAAAACATCACTCCGTGTTTAAATGTAATAATTTAGAGCAGAACTCGGTGTGAGTCTATTTCCTGATAATTTTTTCTGAGGTGATAGACGGGTGTAGGGTGATGCTTTTCTTAGCGGATGTGCTTATCCATCTTTTGCATGCACGTTGCTAGAGACCAATGTGGGTACATTTTAAGTCAAAAGAATAAAATTATTTGACAGAGCGAAGAACAACTGTAAAAACACAGAAGCAAAGAATGGGCAACTATCCAGTATGAGTAATATAATCAGTAATCAATAGCATCCTTGCCTTCATTTTGGATATTTCTTATATTGACTAATTTTTTTTTTTTTTTTTTTTACTTCCTCCCTCTTATCTCACGCACACATAGTGAATATATTTAAGCGTATGGCTTTTCTGCACAGAGATTTTACAGGATTACAGGGAGTCTTTCTAGGCTGAAATGCAGCTCTGTACTATTATAGCTGCTGCGCATTACCCCAAGATGCTGTGGAGTTCAGTCAACTCCCATGCAGAATGGATCAACAGAGGACTGATATCTTTTACAGATGTCTCAGGTTTACCCTATTCAGCTCAGATCCTAATGTTTTCCCTCAATTTTACAGAAACAAGCAAATGACCTCGTTGGCACCTTGATGAAATGCACACCCCATTACATCCGCTGCATCAAACCCAATGAAACAAAGAAGCCTCGAGACTGGGAGGAGAGCAGGTATGAAAAAGCAAAGGATGTTGTGGTGAGGCAAACCAGGGCTAATAGTCCAAACAAGACTCAAAAATTCATAATTTATCATCATGCAGCCTACAGACAAACAGAACCAGAACCTCTAAAAATATTCAGAAAAAATCTGGCATGTTACCACTTGCTCTGTGACCTCTCCTAAATTCTGAAGATTATCTGTGGCCTCTTAATTTAAATCAGCACTTAATATAAGCAATTTTTAGTTTTTCTCCTTTCAGTTATGGATAATCAAAATTTGCAGAATATGTCAGTAACACAACTGGCAAATTAAAGACTCAGTTTTCAGTGTGGAAATGACGCACCAAGTGCTTGATATATCAAATCTAACTTTTGCTGTACGCTTTGAAAACACGAGGTAGCTGAAAGCTAGCATGATGTATAAATTTGCTTTTAGGTATCCAGAAAAGGTTCAAAGAAAAGTTTTTGAAAGGTTACTTAAACAAGTACCAGAAAGTACCCTATAGCAAAGAATATAGAAGATTTTTTAATTCTCTTTAAAGGGAAAATCACTTGAATGTCATAGCAGCTGTTTATATGGAGATAAAATAGATGCCTAAATCATCAGTTTGCTTTACTGAATCTGTTAAGACATTTTTAACTATATGGTGTGATACAGCATCATTATATTATGCTGTAAAATATATATATATATTTTTTTTTTTCCACTGAAGCAGGCTACATTATTTAACACTTAAAATAGATCATTATACACTAAGCAGTTTTGGTTTTGGTAAAAGTGCTGACCTAGCAATTGGTTATTTTTGTCACAGTGAAACAATTTGCTAAGTCTGATAAAGAGCATTCATGACCACATCAGCAACGGGCCAGAGCTCACTTCCTGCCATTTGGCATGCAGGCTAGCACAATTACACGCAGATGGAGAGCACTTTCAGAAGCCACAACCATGACTGCCCCTTGAAAATGTCATTTAGGTCTTGCCATTAAATGCGGGCTCTCTCTCTCTCTCTCTCTCTCTCTTTTCTTCCCTGGCCATCCCGATCCCCAAAAACCTACTATGCAGCACTGAATTTCTCACTGAAACTGGGGCCAAAGGAGAAAAATGATCCTAGGAAAAGCCTGTCTAAAACTTGTAACGAAACAAAAAGCTATAAATAATTGAGTGGCTTTGTAAATCAATCATTTACATATCGGAAAACAGGCCTGTTGTTGTGGAAAGCGTTGCTAGGGAACCAGCGAAACAAACAAACAAAAACCTAGTCCTGACAAAAGACCTGCTCTCAGGAAACCCATTTTAGAGCTAAAATGGTAAAGATTTCTTCTTGTTTTCCCATAAGGAGGATGATATTTGGCAAAGGCAGCAGCTACTGATGCTAAAGTACAGATAGGTGAAGTAAAGGATTGTGTAGTATCCAAATCCGACACAAACGGAGGTAGTTCTCAAGACAGTGACCCTTCATCCCTATTTAAAAACAGTAACGTTCTCTCCCTTTTCAAACTACAGTTTTTGATACATTATATTAAGAGCTCACGTAAGTATAAATTTTCTGTAGCAGTGACATTTCTAAGGAGAAGAGACTTAACTACAAGCATGTTGCAGCTAGAACGTCAGTTTGTTTTATTCTGCTCTTTCATGATTTCACTGTGAGAAAGGTCTGTGATGCTGGAAAGCAGCCGTGGCCGAGCACGGGCGCTATGTCGTTAAACCTTGCGTTAGTGGATTTTGTTTGTTTGTTCTTCTGTGATCGTTTAATCTTGTGCTACACACATGCTTCAATACTTAAAAATGATTGGAGTAGTGGATCTATAACCTACTTACTGGTAGCCTGTTACTAGGCTGTGACAAAGCTGTTCCTGAATAAAGGAAAAAAGACTTGTCAAAGCTTTTTTTACTTCACGCCCCAAGCAGCCATGTCACTCCAGCTTTATACTGCTGTTGAATAATTCCGGAATATTTAGCACTTTAAGATAGACCTTGTGCAATACCTAAACCTTGTATAATACCTTAGTTATTCCAAAAATTGGGCTGTTCCTTGAAATGTGTTTTTATTCGGATCCTGGCACAGCCACTTGGCCTTGTATTCAGAATTGCTGCATTAGCTGAATTCCCAGACCCTGACCTGCTTGAGGTTGATGCCTGGAGGAAGATATTCAAGAGTGCCTTTTCT